ATTTTCGAAATTCTGATTATATTTAACTTTAAATTGGAGAGACACATTTTATCTTTGACTTTTTTATAATAAACTATAATAGAAATTTGACGATTATATTCTATAGGGGAATTTTTGAAAAATATTCGATTTAAGAATTAATTTAAAATGAATAAATTTAATAATTTATTATAAAATCTTGTTGATAAAGATGAATATGATAAATATATAATCGATTTAAATTATTTGTTAAAATAATAATTAAATAAAATATCTATTATTTAAATATTATTTTATAATAAATATATATATATTAATAAATCGATAATATTCATTTTAAAAATCTTTATTTTAAACAACAATCTTTCTTGAATAAGAGTTAGATTATTTTATATTTTATTTAAAATAAATATTATTTATTTATCTTTATTGATGAAAATAATCTTTATTTATTAAATATTATTTTAAAAAAAATGATCTTTTAAATTGAGTTGATAAAAAATGGAATAAATAATAAATTGAATAATATATTTGGTCGAACTAAAATAAATAAATCAAATAGAATTATTTAAAAGAAAAAAAATAATCTCAGAAGGAAGGTTATTATTAACTGATTAAATCATTTTTCTATCGAACATCGAATTTTGTTTTATTCTCAATAGTTTATTTAAATCTTCGAATTCGATTGACATTCAATTTATATCGTTAAACTTTAGTCAATCTCTGTCTTGATAACTTAATATATTGATTATTATTGATCTATTTAACGGTTATACAATATTATCTTTATATTGAAAATTTCTCTCTATTATTCATCAAGTTTTGATTTTTTTTTTATTCCAAATAAACTCTTCTCTTTTTTTTCCTTTTCTATTTTTTCGATAATATTCTTTGGTTATATCTCAAATATAACCATAGTTAGAATAAAAATAGTCTGATTATTGACCATTGAAAAGAGTTCGAAAGATTGAATATCTATAGAATTGTCAAACATATAGAAAATGATCGAATTCTATTCACTTTTATTTCTCAACAAGATAGTTTTATAAAATATCGAATATTTATCAGTATAATAATTAGATTCCCATTTTTAAATAATATTTAACAAATTTTTATCATAATGATAATGAGTTTATATTAGTTCGAACCTTCAAACTGAGTCAATAATATATCACTTTCAATCTCAAAACTGATTTCGAACTTTTTTTTTTTAAATCTACGAACAATGACAAATATCATAGGTATTTATCGGATTAACATTTTTTTATTATAAATAAATAAATAAATAAATAAATATAATTTGGTTTTATATAAAGAGTTATTATTTTGATGATAATCAATAAAATCTAATTAAAAAATGAACGATTTAACAATGTTTTAGACAAATCGACATTCTACCTTTGACTAAACTTGTCTTGTTGAGAAATTGTTTAAGAATTTTAACAATAGATATCATTATTCTCTTTTTTTGAATGAAGATTCTCATATAATTAGTATTGAAATATTCTTCTATTATATTATTATTCTATATGTTATTCGATAGATAAAAGGAAACAATTCTCATTTAATAGATTAGTCAAATAAAATAAGATAAATAATATAGATTAACTTTTTATATAAATATAGTATTCTATAAACCTTTAAAGAGTAGATTATTCTCTCATATTGAATTCTATATAGATAATCAATAATTATCTCTAACTAGATTTATATAAAAAAGAAAAGTTTATTTAATTTACTTTTAATTGATGATGAACCTTGTTGAGTTGATGTCTTTTTAAAAAATAGATAAATAATTCAATAATTTAGTAATTAATAATTAAATATATATTTACAGATATTGTTGATGATTGAGGATAATTTGTTGTTGAACTGATTATTTCTATTGATGTTGTTCCTTGATTTATTGTAGTTGAACTTGTTGAAGTTGAACTTGTTCTCATTGGATTTGTCGAAGTTGAAATAAATGTTGATTGACTACTTTGAGTTGATGATGAAATAGTTGATATTATTCTTGTTGTTGTTGCTGTTGTTGTTGATATCTTATTTAAAATAAAATATTTGTTTTATATATATAGATTAAATCGAGATAAATATTAGATAAAATCTTTCCTAATTTATTTTAATTTAAAATAAAATTCCAACTATTTTATATTTGTTAATTTATTGTTTTTAAAAAAAAGGAAAATAAATATTTAAATATCGACTTACCAAAGTTTGAGTTGTAGTTATAATAGTTGTAGTAGGAATTGGATCTAAACAATAAAATGATAAATAAAAAAAAAAGAGAAGAAAAGTGTTCGATTACCGCATTCAAGATCAATTATAGTAATATCATCAATCGCCATATAATATGGAAGAAAATCTGATGAATATTCTCGTTGAAATAGAAAATATATCTTAAAGAAAAGAAAAAATTTATTTTATAAATAAATGAAAATAATTCTATAATACAGTTGGATTTGGATTGTCAAGATAAAAATTTTCTCTTATTTCATGCCATCGATTTTGAAGACGTAAATAAGCAATAAGAATTGTTTGATTTTGATTTAATATTGTGTCTTGAATAATAACTTGAATTGTTCCATTTGAATATTGATCAGATAAATAATAATAAAATCTAATACAATGTTGACCAGATGATAATTGAGAAGTTAAATCAACTTTATATGAACGATATCCTATCTCTCCCATTTCAAACAATTCATATCCATATTCACCTTAATTTAAATCATTTTTATTATTTATTATTTATTATTTATTATTTAAATAAAATAACCTTCACTACAATTTATTCTTGGACCAGTTCCATTCAATGTTGGACATGTTGATGGTAGATTAGGATCACTTTTTTCACAAAAAAACATTTCAAATGAATTTAATTGAAAAGGAAAATAACATTCTCCCATATCATTTGATGTGTCTAAGAATAAAAATAAAATAAAAATAAAAATAAAAAATCTTCTCTTACCTATTGCAGTTACATCAGAAGCTGGTTGTCGAGGTTGTTCACTTGTTTCATTTAATAAAATATATGAGGCTGATTGAAGCCCTAATAGACATATTTGTCCATAATCAAAATCACATTCATATATTTGTTGACTATTTATTGAAAGAATAAAAACAAAGAAGAACAATTTGATGAATATCATTATTTAAAATGAATTAAATCTATTCATCTAACCAAAGAAATCTTTAGCAATTAAACCATAAACATCTTCAAATATTGAAAACAAGTTGATAAGACCAATAAAAAATAAAAAATAAAAAAAAAACATCTTTTGTACTTTAGATGAAAATATTTCAATTACGACGTTATTTAACAATAAAAAGTGGTAAACGAGGATGGCGTCAATATGTTGATCGTTTAAAAGAACGTCCAACATCTCATATAACTGCATTTGCTATTCTACATGAAATAACTGCTATTTTACCATTTCCATTTATTTATTTTCCATTAAAATGGTCACGTTTAGGAGAATATATTCCTATACCAACTGAATATATTCAAGGTTAACATTTATTTATTTATTTAGATTAAAAAAAAAAAAATGTTTATTATTTGTTTAGAAGGAAATCGAAAGATAAATCGTATTCGAACTCGATATGGTTTAAAACCATTAGATGAATCATCATTAGTATTAATTAATCTTTCAATAACATATGGTATTGTTAAACTTATTCTTCCATTACGTATTGGCCTAAGTTTTATCTTAACACCATGGTTAGCTTCAATTATAACTCGTTCATTTACTTTTTTTCAACGTTTTAAAACCAAATTTTTTTCATAAACTATTTTAGAAATAAATAAACAATAAACCTTCGCAAATTTTTTTAACAAGAATATATTTATTATTTAAAAGCAATTTTTCATTTGTTTTTTTTTAAATAAAATATTCTTATCAAATTTCGAAACAAAATTTTTTTTTATTTTTTATAATCTCGACAAATCCGATTAGAAGTTACATCTTCATTTTTCACCAAAAACCGAAATATATGTAGGCTTAGAGAGGAAAACTTCCTCTATCTCTTGATATATATATATAGATCGATATATTATTGAAATATGTTGTGCATCGTCAGAGGAAACTGAAATTTAAAAAAAAACTATGGATTTCACATTTTTAAAGAAAGTTTCTTATATAAGAATGAAAATCCTGTTGAATAAAGTTTGAATTTTATTGAATAGTATGTATATCGGTTGATTAGGCAGAATATCCAGTTCCATATTCTATTTTATTTTGGTTGATATTATAGTTATTATCTCAGTTATCAAAGTTCAAACAAAAATATTCTTTAAATTTTTCATAATATTGCCTAAAACAATATTTATAGTCTCATCTATGTCAATTTGAAATATAATTGAACTATCCACAATTATAGAGATTTATTTTCTATTCAAAACGGTATATAGACTACTTATATATCAATTTATCTGTGAACTCTATTGATACTTTACTGAGACATGATTATGTAAAAGTGAGCATAATATATCTCAATGGTGGGTGAGAAAAGATTTTTTATTGCTATTTGTTGAAGACAGGGTGTAAATAATTGAATGATCACCAAGAAAAGGATGTAGACAAAGACCTAGCAAATCAGAAGAAACAATCTATTGCCGCTGATGCTAAAGAGTTTATTGTTTTTTTTTAAATTTTTTAAAGAATAAATCAGCTTTTATCAACATCTTTGTCTATAATATGGTTTTCTGATTCTTGTTAATCTTTAAACAATTAATATGTTGCATATCAATGTCTTAAAATATAATTGATATATTAAAGTCGTCGTTCCCTTCTTAGTATATCAATGTTTATCGTCGGATATAAGTATAATTAGAGAAATAAAGAATATATCTATAAGCACAGTATAGGTTATTCTCAACATTCTATCATTTTAACAAATTTTCGACTATATTCAACAAGCATAAACTGATATGTAAGAGAGCAGATGAATGAGTAGATGATTTTACTATAATCTTCAAAATGACTTCTACATTTATAGAACGTTCACAAGTATATAGGGTGTCCGGAAAGTCCTTAGAGTTAGGAAAATTTTCATATCTCCTTTACGGCTCAACCAAACGAGCTCATTTTTTTAACAAAGATTGAGGCACGTTCACACTCCAAATCCATATGGACAAGAGTATTGAGAATCTTTGTTAAGTATCACTATTGACCTCAACAAGAAAATTTTACTGTTCTACAGAGAGGAAGAAAAAGCATATAGTTAACAAAGGTTCTCACTAACTTTGTCAGTATGGATTTGGAGTGTGGATATGCCTCTATCCTGGGTAAAAATATCAGTTGGTTCGCTCAAGCTATAATGAAGAGAGTCAATTGTCTTTTCAATAAAGTGTCTTTTGCCCTATCCTGTGTAATGTTTGTTTTCCTAACTGTGAAACAGTAAAATTTTCTTGTTGAGGTCAATAGTGATACTTAACAAAGATTCTCAATACCCTTGTCCATATGAATTTGGAGTATAAACATGCCTTAATCTTTGTTAGAAAAATGAGCTCGTTTAGTCCAACCATAATGGAGATATCCAAATTTTTGTAACTCTAAGGACTTTCCGGACACCCTATATATTAGTCGTCGATAGAGAAAGAGTTAAAACAAAATAAAGAATTCAATTTGAAATAAAATGAAGATTTATGTATTTATGTCAATTTGTCAAACGATTGAAAAAAATTATAAAAATTTCATTAGTTTTCTCAATTTTAGATGAAAATTGACGAAAAAGAAAAGAATAAATTTTGATGACGAAACGAATATTTATTTAGTTATTTTGAAATTGATTAATTAAAATGAATTGTTTAACGAATGATATTCAATAAATTTGATTTTTCTCAAAATGATGATAATTGAGACAATGATTATATTGATTTTAATTTTAATCGATCAATTTTAAATAAACTAGAATAAATATCTGTTTTATCATTGAAAATCTCATTATTTTCATTTAAAAACTCCTTGAATAACGTCTAAACCTTTATCGATAATAAACAAAAAGTAACTATCTTATTATCATAGATGCTCTTACATAACCAAAATAGAGAATGATCTTTAAAGATTCGATTTCGTGAGAAGATTCAACCGGTGAACTATTTTAAGAAAAGCATTTAATCATACAAATATCGGTTTCTATCTGATCGGTTTCATATCTATTAATAAAACACAAAAAGTTTACGTGAAAAGACTTTATAAAGGTAATATCTTTATTAATAAAAGGTCAAAAATTAATTTGATAAAACTTGAGGATATTTTCAAGAGATAAATCGGATAATTTATATAGATTTTTTTTCTCAAAAATATTCTTGTCAGAGACATTGAATCTTCTTTGTTTATATAAATGATAACTTTTTCGAGTATTTTCAGTAAAATTTTCAATTTATCGAAATGAGTTAGAAACCAATAGGATCAACGATCAATGAGTTTTTCGAAATTCGTCTCTGGTTGAGGAGTGAAAACATATTTTTAAGAATAGATCATAAAACAATAAATAAAATGTTGAAAATATTCTTCGATAGAGCGAATATTTCCTAAGATTGGGTCATTACTCTCTAGATCGGTCAACTACCGTGCTTCCACCCGATGAGAACGCTCCTCTAAAAAAACAAAATCGATACTCCCACTATGAAAAATCGTGGTTACGTCTTTGATAATTAATTATCTTAATTTTGATAAAATATGTCTCTCGTGGCAGAATAAAATAGTCAGATCGCGATTGAAAGTTTTTAAAAATATTTCCAATTTCGGTGGAGTAACTCTATTGAATATTTAACCATTATTACTAATTTATTATATTGATTCAATCTCATTCTACTAGAATTCTCAACACTGAAATTCATAGAAAATTCATCTACTTTTTCAATCTATTAACCCAAAATAATATTGTTAAAATATTCGTCCTACTATTATCGAGATCTCTCCTTTTTATTCAATAGGATAAGTTTATAATAGGTTAGGATAAACTCTGATCAATTTTCAATGTTTAGAAGAATTTTTAGTTTAGAATTGTTATGGAGAAAAAGGTTTATTAATAATAATCACCGTAATTGTTAATTTATATAAATGTCTAATTAAAGAAAAAAGTATCTTAAAAATGGGTAAAAAAACTAATTATTTTTAACATATTGTTGAATAAAATAATTATAATCTATTGTTCCATCAATTTTCGTATCAATTTGTGATGTTAATGTATAAAATTCTTCATCATTTAAAGAACATTTATATTGATTAAGAATTTCTTTAAATGCTTTTGTAGATACATAACCATTATTGGTTGAATCTCGTTGTTTAAATGTTCGTCGGAGTTGTTTAGAAGAATCAGATAACTAAAAATAAAAAGTAAGATAAATATTTATCAAATTTAAAAATAAAAAATGAAATAAATTACTTTTCTTCGAAGTTTATTACAAACTTGATTTAAAACTGATTGATTCGATGTACTACGAGGTGATTTTTCATTTATTGTTGGTAAAGAATATTTATTTGATTCATCAACAAGACCAATTAATTCTGGAAGTGGTGCATGATGTTTTAAAAATCGAACATAATTCATTCTTTAAGGTTTTTTTTAAATATTGAAAATAAAAAAGAAAATAAATTAATTAAAAAGTAAAGATTACCTCGAATCATATTCTGTTTGAAATCTAAATTTAAGCATATCAAGATCTTCTTGATTAACAGATGGACAAAGTTCAGTTAATATATCATCAAATTCATCAGATTGAAGATAACCAGTTCTATATGGATCTAATTGAGTAAATTCTTGTCTTAATTTATCCCAATTTGATTTAATAGCATTAATTGCAGTACCATGAACAAGAACTGAATCTCCATATAATTTTCTTGATGTTAAGAAAAAATCAGCATCACCTCTTTTTGGTGGATTTTTTTTTGCATTTGGATAATGTGCTGAACGTTTTGAATAACCAAATTCACGTAAAAATTGATAAAAATCTAAATGTCCATTTTCTTTTAAATGACAATGAGACCAAATTAAATCGATTTCAGAACGTGTTACTTCAGGTTTAAGAGAAAGACTAAAAAAAAACAAAATTAATTTTATTTATTTGAAATATTTTGTTTTTTATTATTAAAAGTAAACCGTTTAAATAAATCATATAAAAGATCTTGTGTTAATTCTTGAT